CGGTACGATGAAGACGATCCATGATAAGACGAGACCAATCGACTAATGGCATCTTTGGCCACACCTCAGCATGGCTAGTCTTAGAGATAACATTCAACATGAAATCGTGCACAGTACTCTTGCATACGTTCAAATACTTTGCGATTTTCCTAGTGCTCACCCCCTTATGCAAAAGCGTGGGTCCAGGAAGAGTGCGAGAAGATCCCTGTAAAGGTTTGCACTAACCTCGTAGATAACATACCTAGGAGGGTGTAGGTGGTGATCAAGGCCAAGTGTCGGTTGACTAGGTACTAGTTTTGCTAGTAACTAGTTTGCTGCTTGTCCCCGGTACAAATTGTCCGGATGTGCTGTTATTCAATGTTGTCGTCTTGAAGGACCATGAAATATACTACTCTGGTTTTAGGAGATTTGAGTGAGTGCTCTAACTGCTCCTCTCTATGTGTATGGCCACCATGAATTAAGGCTTAATGTTTATAGCGTACAGCTCGTCAAAATGTGAAAATATGCTAAACATGTGGACAACTGTTTCCGCCACTGTACATGAGGCAACCCACCAGCTCTGCGTAGGGGCCGCTGGGCTCTACCAACTCCTCAGACACTGGAGCAGAGAGTCTGTGGTCTACAGGCAGAGGGGTGAGCTGTACAGAGGAGAACTGAAGGCTGAACCTCTGAAGGACCTGGCGCACCAAGTGTGACTGAGTCAGGGTGATGGTGCGCGATGCTCTGTCCCTGAAGATCTGCAAGCCAAGGTAGCGGCGCAGTTCTCCAAGGTCAGTGCACGTGTGTCTCTACAGCAGCTCTGCCTTCACGGAGGCCAGTGCGTCCCTGTCTGCTGTGGCAAAGACCAAGTCGTCGACGTAAACAAGGATGTAGAACGGAGTCTGGCCAGCACGAACGAAGAGTGAAGGGTCTGTGGAAGACGGAAAGAACTGCAGGTCAGCAAGCGTAGCACGGAGAGTGTCATGCCACTCACGGGAGCCTGGCGCAGGCCGTAGACGGGGCGCCGCAAGAGCCACTATCAGAATTAGAATTGACGTGGCCGAAATACCTTCCTGCACCGCTGTAAAATACTAAGCGTACGAAGCTATGCTCGAGGGCATGAACAAATGTGATCCACGCTGTAGGGCAGAAAAACGGCATGCACCCTAAAGGTTGAACGAAACTACATGCAAGAAAAACATTGTTAGCCTTAAATGTAGAACGAGATTAACATCAGCTACGCACAGCCACACGTCACAGTACTAACCTTACGAGCGAAACGTAGCGCGGGCCTCCGCAACCGTCCTTAACGCAGACTTGGAGGAATGCATGGGAAAAAAGGGGCGGCAAATTGCGATTAAGAGGTTATAGAGGTCCGGGATGTAGTTCTAATAAATCCTGCGCAAAGGAATGCGTACTAATGAGACGAAAAGAAAGCGCTAGACGTAAGAAATACTAGAGCTAATCAGTCAGGTTTACGAAAATGAATCAGGAAAACGGCTAAGGTTGGAGCTGAGAGAGAGAAGTGGAACAGCTGCGAGGGAAAAATGGAGTGGTTGGGAAAGATGGTTTGGTTGGGGAAGATGGAACAGAGCAGCAGCTGACGTGGCAAAATGAGAGAAGTGGTTGAGGTTTTATGGATAAGTTGATTTGCGGGCTCACGAAACTGGAAGATGTTCCCGGCGCTATACGAAATTCAATATTTTCGCGAGTGCAAGAAATATAACTTGCAGTGGATTGGATTGTCGACCGTTCAATTTCCTCGAAATCAATCTAACGGCCGAATCAGCCTCCGACGTTTTGGGCCGTTAGATACGTGTCGAAATGATCTGACGGCAATGAAATGGATAAAAAGAATTAACGGTAGACTGAATTTTATCCGGAAAATTGGAATATGAGCCGTCCGATCGACCTCTGTTGCATTCACCTGCAAGTTGGCACCTGGTGCGGAAGAGAATCCGTCAGAAATCTGTCCCGGACGAAGTTTGCTTTGCATGGAAGTGTGACAATTTTTGTTCAGATTCGTGCCATGTCATGCCTGGGACACTTTCGGGAGATCTTCGAGATTCTTTTGGGACAATCTTTTGACCGATTGGAGACCCGCCATACATTCATGACAGATTTGTGACCGCCGTTTTTAGGATAGTATCATTGGGTGCTTGTAAGATGATTCTGCCTCCATTACTGTCCGTTTCTTATAGTAGTATATTTTCTCCGCGTACTTTTGTGAGCTAGAGGTTTCCTCGTTGCTTCTGTGATCTCTTTTAAAAGCTTCCATTAAAACTTGCCATGCTTTGATGGTACACGCGTCTCGTCATCTCCAAACTCGTGCCGCCTCAATGCTTAAATTTACCCGCACGTTGTCTTCTTACCGTAGACGCGCTGCGAAATTCCGCTCTTCACGCTGATATTTGACCCTGTCGTCCATGATAGGCGTTGCCAGGGACTTAGCCGACTCTATTGTCGTAATACTAGTACTATCATTCGCCGTCGCGACATGTCGCGGTAGTAAATTTGGTATGCTATGTCTTGCACTATGTGGGTGTGTTGGATTTGGAAGGGAAAGTTGTTCGCTAGCGACGTGCGAGGCCGCAAAAGTGTCGCGCGCAATTTCGCTTGAGGTGGTGGTGGTACTGGATGGCGAATTGGATTTTTGTGCGGTCTATTTTTGTCGTGCGGAGGTACTTGGAAACGTGCGCTTGTGTCCGCCAATTTTGGGTGTGAGTTGGGCGTGTCGTATTCGGGCGTGTTTTATAGTTACATGCCTAAAAGTGGTAACTGAACTAGGTGTTGAACAGGGCACGTACTTTAGTGATACGCCCTTATCTAACTTGAATAGGACGGAAATGTTTTATAAATCACTCTACACATGAATTCCTTTTCAAGTCTAGATTTGTTTTCGGGAGGGTAATCCAGTATCGAGCGCAAAACTTTCACGGGCGAAATTGGTCAATATAGGGTAGTCTGGTTACCTACTTGGCATTTGTAAGGAATTTCCATTCCTTACTGAGTCGTACGCAAGCGTGTACACCCGAACTCCTTGACTCGTCACGTTCGGCCTCATTTATCGGCCCAACCCTTTCCCGAGTCGCGTCCGGTACTGTCGCCACATTACCGAACCTACCCACGTTCCGAGGTTATCGCCCTAATACGTCAACCCCTATATAACCTCATGCCTTCATTGCAATAGCGATATTGTATTCTCACATTATATTTCATTTACACTTCCTAATTCATAACAGCATTTTTCAGTCAAGCGGGTTACCATGGTTGTTTCTTTTGCCTTCCTCGGGCAAGTGTGAGGCCTCAAAACGTCCCGTCTGCACGTTTGGAGGTCTCAGTATCAGATGTGGTCACTGTTGGAGTTCAGTGGGCCTCTGTGGGTTGGGCCATTGCCCGTGTCTTCGAACCAATGAGACTGCATATAAACATTTAGCGTCTAATGAATGGAACGTTTAATGGAATAAAGGTGTATCAATCTGGTTGTCGGGACTTTTAGAAGTTCGGAACTGTATGTTCCACGCCCTAACAGGCCGTCAGATCGATTTCGAACCGTATTGCACCTAACTAGAACGTAGTAAGAACTGAACTCCTGTGACTGGGCCAGTCTGTTTGGCATTTCTCAAAGAATGATTGTACTCTATGCGGTTGCGGTTGGTGTTATGCGGCGGGTTGCTGCTCAAATTTGTCACAAACAACCTCTTGTTGGCTTCCAGGGATCGAGACAATGACCTTCAAGTGAATCTACTGTTCGGCCGGATTCTCCTCTTGAAGGTCATTGTTGGCTTCCAGTGTTCGAGTCGAGACAATGACCTCTTCTACAAACCCAATCAGATTGTAGATCCAATCAGCATCTCTACAGTACGGCTGCAATCATATCATCCGGATGGCGGGCTGGGGAGAGGGGAATTTCCTCATATTTGTTCTGTACTTTGAGCTAGAGTGTAGCAGGGGCATGAACACCGCTGGTAGGCTATTGGGTATTTCAAGGCCGAATTGACAAGGTCTATTGACACTATTCTTGATGTGAAACGAACTCTCGCCATGCTGAACTTCGTTCGGGCAGATTCCAGACAGTAGGAATATTTGCTGAATATTTTGCGCGTTCTCACTAGATTCTGTTGTTACTGTAGACGTCACACGATATTCAGTCGAAAAACGCGTCCAGGTGGTGTTCTTGTTTGGCTTGTGTAGGGGCGCTCTCGTCGGGGGGCGGGGGGGGGGGGGGGGGGGGATTGGGGGGAGGGGGGGGGAGGGGGGAACATGTGGGCTTATTGTTTCCCTGAAGCGGATTTTACTGTCCACAAGAAGCTGTTGTTTTGCACGCATGGTGCAAAAAGTTTCCTTTACATAGTACAGAATGATATATTATGTTTTTTTCTTCTTCGTTAATACATCCGCGATACTGTTCAAGACAATCAAGTGACTTTGAATGACAACTCATGTGAGTCCTTCAAGGGACCTTTCAGGAGCTATTCTGTTCAGCATAGTCTTGTAACATTAAGACAAACAATACCACCAGCAAACGCTGCTTCCTGGTGTCCTTCCAAGTGTCCTAGCAGGTCCCTTTCACCACCTCCCACCCCCGCCTCCCGCTCTTCTTTCCCCCCAACACCCGCACCGCGCTCCCCTGCTCCCTTCTCCACCACACCCTCCCTGCCCCTCCCTTTTCCCTACCCCCCCACAATCCTGCACACAACCACCTCCCCTACCTCCCCACCCCACTCACATTCCCGCCTCCCGCCCTTACTCCCCCCGACCAGCCCCCCCCCCCCCCCCCCTCCACCCCTTATCCCCCACATTCTTTCCCCTTCCCTCTCCTCCGCATCTGATCGCTGGTGCGGTGCGGTGCGGGGCCCTCGTCATTTGAGCTGCCGTGCGCTGTGGGCCGCGCATGAGTTGTCATTGTGACAGGGGTGAGCGAGTCCTCTCGTCGCTTGTGGGTCTTGGCTCGTGCGTGAGCTGTCGCTGCTGAAGGGGATAAGGTTCGCTCGCTCTGCCATTATAACCACCCACTCAGCTTTGCTGATCAACCACTTCTCCATCGGCATTCTCTTGTAGCTTATTCTAGCTCTCCTCTCCCGCAACCAAACCTTCAGAGGTCAGTTCAGTACGCACGGAGACAGCAGCTACGTGTATCATTCTCAGCGAGTATTTCGTTATCTCAGCAAAATGGCTACTGCACGGGATTTTTCCCAGGAATTCAGGCGGAGATCCCTCGATCTGACAGCAGCGCCATCCAAGCTTGCCGCGATCGATCATTGCGCGGCACAGCGGCTGCGCGGCGATTCCACGTGTGCGACTTCCTCGTCAACCCCAACGTCGCCGGCGTCGCATCCAATCCCAGCCGTTCAAACCGCTTCTTCGCACATCCCGCGCTGCGCTTCAGCCGATACCGTCTCCGGCAGACACGGCAGCAGCAGCTCCGCGTCTTACGGCGCAGCAGGGACCATCGCCGCCGCAGATCTCAGCTGGCTAGCGAGGAGCGATCGACGGCTGGCGATGTGGAACCGAGCGACGGGATCGACCGCGGGATCGAACACTGGTCGATCCTCAACCACTACGACTGGTAGTGCTACTGGTAGCACGCATTGCCCGGCTTCCAGTCGCCACCGAGCCGCGGCGTCCACGTCCTCGAGTGCGTTCGGGCCTTCCGTGTTCGAGTGGGCCGTTCAGGAACGGATTGCTGCGCGCGCGGCTCGCGGTGCGGCTCTCCCCCGAGTTAAGGCTGCTGCTTGAAGTTTCTCGTGTTTATTGGGGTTCAGCCCCGTAAGTTACCCACATTTTCCCGGCTACACGGTCAGTTCATCAATACCCCGGCTGAGAAAATCTACTAAAACCCGACGGGCGGAGTTTTTCCTGCTTGATTCAAAAAGCAGACTCCAGAGCAAGCATTGCCCCAGAGGTCGTCCTTGCAGCTGCATTTGTGATAATACCGAAATTTTCTTCGCCACGCTGGCAACTGAGGGTGCAGCTTCTGCCGCGTGGATTCAGGCTGACGAGCAGTGTGTTTGAAGGAACTCCTTTCCGAAGGCGAGAAGCCGCGCAGGAGTTAATTTGTTGAAATAATCGGTGCTGGTGTGCACTCATGTCCTACAATATGTACATATTAATCAAACATCTCTTGATTCAAATCCTGCGGAAACCAGCAAAACGCTCCACAGATTTTATGTCTTCTGGGTTCCTAACGAGCTCGTTGGGTAGACCGTTGAAATAGCCCTTCGGAAAAAACTGGTTGGCTTCTGCGTAAACCAGAGCATGAAGGGTGGTAACAGGGTGATGGTCCCCTGTTACAGGTTGTCAGAGAACTGAGCATAAAAGAACCACACTGCAAGAGAAGGTTGTTAATTTGTTAGAGACCCTACGTACCTTTGGGCGAGCTTTTGATTCAAGTGCTGCAGCCACATCGCGTTCCAAGTCAGATATGCTTGATCTCACCTGCAATAGAGAGATAGCACAATTTACAGGAAATTAGATAACCGTATTCGATGCAATCTGAACTGGCCATCCACATCCCACCCACAAGAGAAACGCTTTGGGTTGCACATAGCTACCATGCCAGGACAACAGCAAGCCAACTCCCAGCAAGAACTCAGCCAAAAACCAATCACCACCTGCACCAGGGCCTGAGTGAGCCCATGAGTCTCCTGCCTTATATCCGCCCTCACATCTACAGCCTTAACCTCCTCCTCCTCCACCTCCCCCTGCACCTGCTGCTCCTCCCCCCGAAGCTGCTCCCTCTCCCTCTCGGCCTGCTCCCTCTGCTGCTGCAGCGCTCTGCCCCGTGATACCAGCTGCTGTGCCTGGCGTGCTAGCAGCTGGGGTGGGGAGTTGGATTACCAGGCATGGGAAGAAATTTTGGGATGGAAGAATGGGAAGGAAGGGAGAAACAGTGAGTTCATAGGGGGATGCGTCACAAAGGAGGCTGCTCCCTCTCCCTCTCCGCCTACCCCCTCTGCTGCTGTAGGATTCTGGCCAGCGACACCAGCTGCTGTGCCTGACTTGCGAGCAACTGAGAAGAATTTGCCAGGAAGGAGGGGAAAGGAGGGAAATAGGCTGATTGGCTGGGGGATGTGGTTTTTGAGTCAACTCAAAAGTCAAAAGGTCCCCGACACCAGCTGCTGCGCCTGGCTTGAAAGCAGCTGAGGGTTTCCCTGCAAGAGTGGGAAGGGAGGGAGGTGGGTTGATTGGCGGGAAAGATGTGGGGGAATGATTTGGAGAATGCAGATAAACTGAGAATATAGAAGGGATACTTATGGAATTCGTTTTGAATCTGGCTGAGGACAAGCGTATGGCAGGACGTCAGCGTATTCGTTTTGAGTTGACAGGAATTGGCTGGCCTACCTGCTTCTGCCACGTCAGCACTGCTACAGTGAAGGAGGGTGGCCAAAGGGAGGTCGACGAAGCAATATCAGCCACAGGCTCTGAATGACGTGGATGGGGATGGGATGGGGGGAGGGTATGCGGGATGGGATGGGGGAGGGTATGCGGGATGGGATGGGGGGAGGGTATGCGGGATGGGATGGGGGGTGGGATGGGGGACGGGACGGGGGACGGGATGGGGGGGGGACGGGATGGGGGGTGGGACGGGGGACGGGATGGGGGATGAGATGGAACGGCAGGATCGACTCAGGTGAAGGCCACAGGCACAACAGGGGGTGTGGCAGCCGCAAAACTCCAGGGTTGGAAAATGAACGGACAGGGGGAGTTTAAGGTGGCTAAGGGACTGGCCAGGAAAGGAATTAGTACCTGAAAGCTTCTCTGGCTGAATCAGTCCTACCAGCAGCTTCACCTCATCTCCTCCTCTCCCCCCACCTCCAATCCCCTCTCCCCCTGCCTTCCCAGACCCCACCCCCCACCCTCTGGCTGCAACATAAGCTGCCACTGCTTCATACAGAGCATCGTGTGATGGACGGCAGGAAAGGGGCAGTGCTGTTGCAAGGGAGACGAAGGAGTCAGGAAGCATAGCGGTGGCGCTGGGGAGGTAGATACGACCTGCCAAACACGGCGAAACAAGGCGAAACACGGCGAAAGAAGGGAAAAACAAGGAGGGAGTTGAAATGTGCCAGCATGTGCTGTTCTATCATGCTATGGCGCTCGTGTAAGCACACCCTTAGGGTAAGTGTGTTGAGACCTCTCAAAACTCATCCAATAGCGCTAATATAAGCGCATTTTAAGGTAAGTGCACCTTTAGGTAAACGCAGCATTAGTCAAGCACACCTTTAAGTAAGTGTCAACAAGGGACGCAGCTTGAGCGAGACTGGTGGGATCTCTGCCTTCACCAACTGTGTTAGGAGAACCGGTTGTGGGGATCGTTGCAGCAGCAGAGGAAGAGCTTGAGGCAGCAGCAGATGAGAATATAGCAAGGAGAGCGAGGATCTCCGAGGGAGGGAGAGGAAGTAGGTGATCGACTTCGCACTCTGTGATGCGATGGCCGATCATGCTGCGGATAGGGAGGACAGAGGGCAAACCAGAGGGGGAAGACAGAGGCAGCAAACCAGGGGCAGCTGAGAAGGATGCGGGCTCTCAGCTGACAAATGACAGAGATGCGGGATCCGGAACATGGCGCAGACGCTCTGTGAAAAGGCAAAGAAGCCCATTCTTGAGGCGCCTCAAAAGAGAGATACGGAATTCGGGACATGACTCAGACGCTCTACGAAAGGGCGCACAGGAAGCCGCATGCTACCTCTGCAGTTCCGCCTTGGAAGTTCACTGGTCTCCACCACAGGACACCGCCACAGCACAGATGACAATTGATTCATTAGCAGCACTGCACTCGCACAACCAACGCCTCACCTCACCTCTGCAGTTGGGCCTTGGATGATTCACTGGCCTTCACCTCAGGGCACATCCGCAGCAGAGGTGACAATTGGTTCCCATGAAGCACTCACCTCTGCAGTTCGGCCTGGGAGCATTCAATGGCATCCACTTCCGGGCACAGCCGCAGCAGAGGAGACAATTGGTTCGCAAGCAGCAATATACTCACACAAGCAAGGCCTCACCACTGCAGCTGCGCTTTGGAGGATTCACTGGCATCCACTTCAGGGCACAGCCGCAGCAGGCGCACCAGCAGCTGCATGGAAGGCGGCCCCAGGGCATCTCCTGAGGCTGCTGGGCCTCGTGAGGCCACCGTTCCTCCTGAGGCCGCTGGGCGCGTAGAGAGCGGGACCAGCAGCAAAACCGCTGCTTCTAGAGTCTCCTTCCACGTGGACGTTGCCTGGGCGTCAGCTGGCGTGGCTGACAGTGATGCTGACGTGGATGTGACGTCCTGATTAGCGGAGGAATGGAGGGGAATGGCAGAGATGAGATGCACAGGGTGAGGGGAGGGGAGGGAGACAGGGGCGGGGGGTGGGGGGGGGAGAATCCTATAGCGTGTGACATAAGGGTGGAAAATTTATATGAAAGGCCTGGGAAATGACCGACTGGTCAGTAGGATGCTGACGTGACTGTAGGAAATGGCATGAGTGGACGCGGGTGCTGATCCTGAGGCTAATAACGAGGGGTGACAGGGATTAGCAGGCGGTAAAACGAGGGGCTGACCACAGGGAAGGGAAGCCACGTGTTGCAGTAGGCCTCCAGCAGAGCACACAGATGCACCGCGCTCATACCCATGGCCCTGGTGGATGGGCGGATGGATGGGCGGATGGATGGATGGATGGATGGATGGATGGATGGATGGATGGATGGATGGATGGATGGATGGATGGATGGATGGATGGATGGATGGATGGATGGATGGATGGATGGATGGATGGATGGATGGATGGATGGATGGATGGATGGGTGGGGAGAGGAGACGAGGAAGGAGAGGAACGAGGGAGGATGAGTAGGAGAGTTTTGTTCCAGCAGAGCACACAGATGCACCGCGCTCATACCCATAAAACGAAGGAAGAAGGATAAAACGAATGGTACGAGAGACAAATGGGGCAGGAGGAAAATTCTGCTGTCTGCTTCTCAGCGCACAGGTGTCCTCACCTCACTGCACCATGCAGCGTGACAAACGTGGGGAGGGTCAGCTGCAGTAGCTGGGGCGACAGCCACAAGGGGCCTGCGCCAGCAGCAGATTCTGACTTCACCTCAGCGTCCGCTTGAGCTCTATCCTTGGCCTTCTCTCCACCCTTCGCCTTGTCTGCACCAGAAACAGAAGCCGAGACTCCAGCAGCTGCAGCGGCAGCACCAGCAGCCCCCCGCAGCAGCAGCAGCAGCAGCACCACCACCACCACACAGCAGCATCCTCAGTGCCATCGCCGATATGGCCATCCCTTTCCGCTTCTTTCACAGCCAATCGAGCCACGCGTTCACTGCACTCTGCAGCAGCCCTGCTGACTCAGCATTCGCTCGCACCGCTGAGCTGGCATCACACGATTGGAGCACGGTGAGAGCAGCCCGGGGGTGGGAGAGATAGGAGGTGAGGTGCGAGAGGCGAGGGTGAGCAGGTTGTCATAGGCCCACCACACATGGCAGCACGGGGGTCGTCACTCATATCAAGGTAAATCGCTGCGCAGTAGAGAGCTGTGACATTAGCAGGAGTGATTGTAACGGGAACTCCATAGCAGAAACACGCCACGAGTTTGAAGGTCTCGATCCCGCCTGGGAGGTTGGAGAGGTCGAGCCGAGCTCGCTTCCCATTGGTGGAGCTCTCTGGGTCACCGGGACTCTTCCTTCTGCTCGTTTCCCACAGCACGCTGCGAAAATAGTCAGTCTGACGGACACACACACACACACACACACACACACACACAACAC